TCCATCCATCCATCCATCCATCCATCATCTTCTTCTTCCGGGTCGCGGTGGCAGCAGCTTCACCAGGGAGGCACAGACATCAACAGCCACCTCTTCAGCTCTTCTAGGACCCCATGGTGTTCACAGACCAACTGACTATTTCATAAGTAATATCCTGATGCTGCTCAATAATTCAGGTAGAAAAATCTAAAAAAGTTAAGTCTGGTCCTCTGAACATTCACAAAACAAAACTAACAATAAATTTAATAATAAATAAACAATAAATGTTTTTTTGTTTGTTTTGTTTTTTGAATGTCCAGAGGACCAGACTTAACTTTTTTATATTAATAAGTAATACATTTATGTTTTTAAATTTAATGAAAGACAAACTTTAAAATTTAAGGACAATTTAATCTAATTGTTTTCAAGTCTGTATCTTATTGTAAAAGCAGTTTCAAAGATTACAGCACAGTGTGATGTTTTCTAATTTTAACATGAACCTTGTGCATATCTGTAAATAATAAAAGTGAAGATATTTTTATTACATCTTTATTGTAAAAATCTATACTAAAATGGAAAACACATGGGTTTAAAGCAGGCAGGAAGGCAGTATGGTAGGATTATGAATCAGGTTTAAAAGTTACAGCTCATGAGGTACTCCATTAGAGCATGACATCTCTTCCACAACATCGTGTGACAAAACCTTCAGGGTGTTCTTCTTCTAATATGTTTAGTGGTAGATAGTAAGTAGCAGAGCCCTATAAAGAGAGAGTTGCAACACTCTTTGAACTCGCCGATACGTGGTCACGTGGTTCATGCAGCTCCCAATAGTTCCAAACAGCTCATTCCTGTCAGTCAGTTTGAGCGGCTGCTGGCGCAACATAACACAAAAATCGACTTTTCTTACTTTACCTGAAGTCTTTCAGTAATTGCTGAGCAGTAACGACCTGATTACTTAAATGATTACTGATTATTTCACAGACTATGCATTTTATCAAAGCGTTTTTAGAAGCGGCTGATACATTTATCATTAAATTTTAGAAGGGAACGAGATTGCAAACACATATTTGTTAGAAAAAAATGTATATGCAATACAATGATCAATATAGTCATGTCAGTGTTTTATAACGTTACACACGTTAAAAAAGATCAGAGTAACACCTGTTATAAAGCTGTTTCTGATGTTCTCTGCATGAGAATGCTCCACCTTGTCCTCCATGCAGCAGTTCAGATCTGCTCCAGCTTACCTCAGATCATCTGGATGAATTCTTGATTTCTATAGAAGATATTAATTCAACCTTTATTTAAACAGGTTAGTTCCATTGAGCCACGAGGACTCATTTACAAGAGAGACCTGAATATAATTGTTGTATTTGTCGTTTTTTTTTTATGGCAACCAAGTACCTGATAACTGAGTTGATTGTAGCCTGACAACTATTGTAAAACTGTAATTCATTGATTAAAATGTTAATTTAAATGAAACTGTATAATCATAACAGATGACAAAATAAGTGTTAATTGTTCAAAAATAAATTTCCAGAACAATTTATTATAAAATATGTAAAATGTAAAGCAAGCTTTAATAAAGTACTTTTACTGCCATTTATACTGTTTATTAATACATCATCTGAAGTCAGCAGGAGCACCATCATCTTCATCATCACAACAACACAAACTGAGAGCTGTAAATTTAATCTGCACAAACATTTTCAATCAGGGCTCAAAATGTTTAACTGTCAAAGAAATGTGCAAGAAAATAAACTACTGTCACTCTACAGGCACATTTAGAAAGAGAACAGTTCACAGAGACACAGTGAGGACGTGTGAGACTGAAGGAGGTTCAACCAGTTGTTCATGGACCAGAACCAAATGAGAAGAACAGCAGAACTTCCACTGCATGTTGATCCATTGACCAGTGATCTGACCAGTGATCACACATGTTGTTCTAAATTAAACTTTGGTACGAACAGTGTTAAATAATTCATGTCATATTTTTTATTGAAGAATAATCTTCATTCCAACAGTGACGTTGTAATTTCAGAAACTGAGGAAGAAACAGAAATGAGGCGAGTGAGATGAGGGAAAGATGAAAATGTGTCCTCAGAGGACGGGGACATGTCAGGATCTGATGATCCAGGATCAACAGGACCAGGAGGATGAATCAACAGGCAGTCAGGGAACAGAGATGAACAACCTGAGGGAACAATTAGAACACAAAAAAATACATAAGCAGGACAGAAGAAACTCAAACAAGAAAATTAACTCAGTCCTGCAAAGAAAAATGTTAATGGAAAATAAATTCTGACATATTTTTACAAAAGATCAGATGAAGACAACTGGCATGAAGAATAACTTCCAGCTCCATCTCAATGTACATGTTATAGTCAAGTCAACTTTATTTATAGAGCACATTTAAAACAGAACCTGTTATCAAAGTGCTTAACAACAACAACAATCAATGAGTAAAATTAAAGAGAGAAAAAAATATATATATACACACACAATACACTAATAATAATAACTGGAGAATTAATAAAAAGCATTTAAAGTTTAAAGCATTTAAAGCATGATAGTTTAATAAGTTTTTTTGTTACTGTTCTACAGTTTATTGATGCTGATATATTCTTGTAATAATTCTTATTTCTTGCTCTGTCTTGAAAGAGTCTCATCTAAACTTGACCCATGATTACCATACGCTAAACTAATAATATAAAACTAATGTAAATGAACAGTCCTGCAGCAAATACCAACTTTGTGAAGGTTATGGTGTTAAAGTAATCTTATTCAAATATCTTGATTCAGCTGTTATTGATTTGGAAGACAGAAAATGAGATCTTGTACCTTTGTGATACTTTGAATGCAACATTCAGTTCACTCAAGTCATTCTCCTGTGGTTTACCTAGAAAACATTGACTCATCTCCATGATCATGTTTTTCTTTAATGATAATGTCACAATTTATGCTGCAGTCTTTGACAAGTGATCTATAACTTTAACGAAATTACGTCAATCTTGTTGTCATGTTGTCATCGTTCTTTGTTAAATCAGGTCTCTCTTGTAAATGAGTCCTCGAGGCTCAATGGGATTTACCTGTAGAAATAAAGGTTGAACGAATCGCTCAGAACAAAAAGGCCAAATATTTTCTAGTTGAGTTCAGTAACTGGAATTACCATAAATTTAAAAAAGACCACCTTTCAAAATTTAAGCAGTAATAGATATTTTAAAACGCTGAATTAGAAATAGACCCGTTTAAACCGTCATGTTGCAGAGCAGCTGCAGTTAAAACACAACTAGCAATTTAACGTTTCATTAACTAAAACTGGCGACATGAAGTATTAATGTTGATAAATTGTGGTACAGAACAGTCAGATAACGCTTCACAATGGCAAAAAAGTGTCGTATTTTCATCAACTTACCGGAGAAAACACGGAGAATGAACTATGTTCAGTGCTGAACCGCTGCTGTTTGGAACTATTTGCCGCTTCATGACCCACGTGACTTCCGCATTCCATTCTTTCTATGGGAGTCTATGGAAGTGTCGCAACTCTCTCTTTATAGGGCTCTGGTAAGTAGCTTAAGGGAGCACTACCGCCACCAGGTGGTAAGACGAGTTGGATTCTAGTCCCCGCCTACAGAGCCGGTCCAGAAGTGTAAATGGAAACGCAACGAGACACGAGCCAATCTGAACCGACCCGAACTGACCTGATCCGCACCGTAACAGTGGAAAAGGGATATAATAATGCACCAAAAATCTGGTCCAGATCAGACGATGTATCACTGAAATATAACGGTTTGAATAATGTAGGGGGTGCACTTGAGTCAAATGTAAAACAACAATACCAATGTGTGTATAAGTGCTCACTGATGACACACAATAAATATGGTGCAGATTGGATGACGTATCACAGCTATAACTGTAAGAATAATGTAGGTGGTGCTATGGAGGATACTGGCCAATTAGCATGGATACCTGTTCGAGGGTTGGATAATGATCGATCATAGTGATTTTGGTGCACCTCGGTTGAAATCTGTGCAATTTAGAGTCAAACGTATTGCAACGGTGTCACTTCTTAATTTGCCATGCTGCCACACCCACATCCTCCAGCAAAAACGGTTTGCACCTTAAATCAAGTCGGACCATCTTATCTATATTGTAAGACAGGATCATCCTGATTAAGTCAAGGGTGTCAAAGCATTCCAAGTAAAAAAACAGACTTCCTGTTCTGAGGGGGTGGGGCTTTCATGATGTCAAAATATGACCACAGTGGATCGTCGGGTTTCCAACAGGGATGAGTCATGCCAAGATTGTTGCATTTCGGTCTTTCAATGTGAAAGTTATAGTGTTTGTAAATGTATGGCGTGAAGCGCCACTTTAAGGCCTGGCCACCTCCCTTTAACATAACAAAACCAAAAGCTTTTGATAACTTTTACTCTCCAATGTCTTAAGGGCATATCAACCAAGTTTGAAGGCAATCAATCAAAATCCCTAGGAGGAGTTTGTTAAAATTTGCCATTAGAAACGCCCAAAAATTACCCTTTGACCCAAAATGGCCGCCTTCCTGTTGAGTTTGGACCAGGGCTCCAAGAGACTTTTTCATAGGTCCTGACAAGATACAGATGTTCGCTGAGTTTCAGAATTAAAGTTTTATTTTTTTTTTTTTTTTTTTACAAAACTTTATCAATTTTACAAACAACTGACTCCCAGGGGTATAATAGCAGGTACACAAGTATAGAAAGAACAATTTGGTTATAAAATGGTACAAAGGGTAAAAAAAAATCTAAAGATACAACACAATATATTTACATGTTATACAGATAAATTCACGTTAAGTTTTTCTAGAACTGAGTTGGTTTTCATTGCCTTTTTGTTTTCAAGTCTTTTAATAGTGGTGCTGTACAGTATATGTAAAGTTCCTTGCTTGTTAGAAAGTAAAGCATCAGATAGTTCGGTCCAGTGAATTTGTTACAGAGTGAGCGCTCTGTCTTCTCATATCTGTGTGAGGCTGCTGGCCCTTTAAGACCGGAAGAGGACAGGATGAGCCGACACCGCTTCATCCATCCTCCTCCTCTCTCACATTGACATTGTTCTGCCGCTCAGACAGACAAAGACAGAGACAGGCAGACAGACAGACAGGTCATCAGAGCTTCAGACAGACAGAGTGACAGGTGTCAGCTCGTCTCTTTGTGTGCACACGCAGCCTCATGGATCCAGCTGCTGTGACAAGAGACAAAGACGGAGGACAAACACACGGACACGCGAACACGTTATGAGCGGGAGCACGCGCCGCCGGACCGGAGGACATGAGCTTAGGTGAACCTCACACACGCACACAGTGACAGAACAAAGACCGTCTGTTTCTTGTTTGATCCTCAGTGATGCTCGCGCTGCTGTTGTCATGGTAACCGTTCTCAGAGTCTGAGGTCAGAGTGGAGAAAAGGAGGAGATTTTTATTTCCTGAAAAATGCTGCTGTTAGTGGTCCAGCTGGCTGTTAACCTGTAAACAAACACAGTTTACATCATCACAGACCTGTCAATCAATCAATCAATCAATCCGTCAAAAAAAATGCAGACAAATTTATGATCACGTGACATTTCTTTTGACTCTTTAAAGATAATTTAAGTTAATCAGGCTCATCACAGCTTCTATCTACAATCTCAGAACTCTGGCTCAACTGGTGGCGGGCGATATGCATTCCTCCAAAAACGGCCGAGCCTTTAAATTGTAATGTTTCAGTGTGGAAACTGTCAAAGTGCTCCTTTAAATCAGCTGGTCAACAGGAAGAGAGAGGAGGAAGGAAACCAACTTCCTCACACACACAGAAACAAAGGCAGCATTGTGTGTGTGTGTGTGTGTGTCCTATTTCTTTGTTTTACGGCTTCAGTGTTCAGACGTTGAGACAACAGAACGTTCTGACACACGTGGACGCTTGAAGAAGTTGACGACAGGTGACAAGAGAAGCCTGAATAAAAGCCAAATAAACAAATAAACACACAAACACCACCCCTGGAAACATGATAGTAAATGTACAAACAGCTGACAGCAGCTGCTGTCATCATCCGGCAACTTCTCATCCTGATCGTTTGTTAAAGCAGAAATCAGGCGTCGAAGCGGAGACGTCTGCTGCTTCTCAGTCAACACGGTGGAACAAACTGATCAGAGACAGAAATGTTTTCTCACAGCGTGCTCCATAGAGGCACTTTAAACGTCAGCTAGTTGCCCCTGAGGTAACAGAAACTCTAACTGTGTCACCGTGGTAACAGACTCTGTGACGTAAACGTTCAGGTTTTCTCCTCGCACCTGAAGCAGCTGGTCTACATGATCTGTTCATATTTAATGGACTTTCACATTCAAATCAGTCTTCCTGAAACAGAACACTCAGAGTTTCACCGCTCGGGGTAAGTAAAGTCAAAGTTTTTGGAGAAACTCAGAGTTTGTTGAACCTTCTTTCTCAAACCCCATAGAATTGGGTAGCCAAGTCAAAATCCAAGATGGCCACTACCATGCATATACATAAACTAACCACACCAATCACTTGGGGAACCTGTGCTCATTAGATTTTATGTTGCTTAAACGTTAATGAATGAGGTGACCGAAGTTTAATCAGTGGGGGCGAAGGCCATCATCGTCTGTCCGTTTGTTGTAATAAAGCCTCTTGTTGTTGCATCAGTTTCTAGATTTGTTGATATGTTCTACATCCAAGGTTCAGTAGAAGGTGTTTATCTGGGGGAACATCTGAAATCGTATGAAAGATCAGAAGTAACCAGCTTGTTGCTCTGCTGTTACAGGTAGCGCTGTGCTGAGGCAGCCTGAGATTGGTGGTCACCATGGCGCCCAGGCCGTCGTCAGGGGAGTTATGGGGGCTTCATTTGATGCCTCCTCGGATCTTGGTGGACTGCTGTCTCCCCAATGGTGAAATTCTATTTGTTTGTGTTATTTGTTTTTAGTATGTCAGTGTTGAAACTGAGTCTGGACATTTGTGTAGTACATTTGTATGTGTGATCTGTCTGTGGCTCTGTACAACTCCAAAAAACGAGAGAGCAAGAGAGCAAGAGAGCAAGAGAGCGAAAGAGCGAGAGAGCGAGAGAGAGAGACTTGACTTGACTTGACTAAACTTTTATTTACATCATTTGGGGGACAACAACAACAAAAAAGGTCCAACCATGACAAACATCATTAACAGAAAAGAAAAGAAAAAATGGGCATTAATTCATTAAAAAAACACTTATTTTTTTGTGTGTACAGTTAAAATACTTTACATAAAACCCAATATTATATTACAGATTACCAGCATTAAGTATTATTATTCTTAAAAGGTAAGAATTAAAAAAACATCCTTCCTCAATGAACGTAAAACCTGTTTAATGCCCCAGAAGTCTTTAAACGAGTTAAGGTTGCTGGTGAGGGTGTAAAAAGCATGCTCTACTTTTAAACGGGCTGCAAGTAACCCTTTAAAGCTCTCAACCACATCAGTCCAGCCCCGGCCTGCCATCTGGTTCTTTCTGGTCAACCATATAGCAAGTTTTGCAACCCCGAACAGAAAATTTATTAAGGTCAGGATCTTTTTCTTGCGTACAGTGTATTTTGGACCAAAGATAAAGAGAGGTAAAGTGTAGTGAACTAGGCCTGATGTCAAAACTTTGACCTAAGGACCATATGGGACAGAACTTGTCATTTCATTGATTTGCATCCAGAAATACAGGTTGACCCATCCTGAGACTTTCTTTCTTGAATTGATCAAGTAAAAGAAGACTACTTTCGATTATCATTACTATTTTACAAATGTTTGATAATCAAATTGTGTTAGTTCAAACAATGTTTACATGTTGAAGTGAACTACTCATTTTTTATTAACTGTGAAACAGTAATAATGATTCTTAATCCTCATTCAAAGAAGAAATCAGGTTAATGATGCATTGTCTGATTTTCTGTCTTCAATGAGCGAGGTGATGGAAGTTGGTCAAAGTTCAAGTTTCGGTCAACTGCAAGTTTACTGAAAAAAGAAATGTCATGTTTAACTTTTACAGCAAGATACTGGAGAAGTGACTCCACGAAGTCTGAATTCTTCATAACAATCTTTTGTCTGTTCTTAAACAATCTTAATCTTTTTCCTTGACTTTTCATAACACCTTACATCACAAAACACACCTCTGTTTTGGTCAATCGACCAATCAGAAAGTTCTCAAATGAACCGGAAGTGAGCTTTCTTTAAATGTTGGCACTTCCTAGTTCAACCTAGCTTTGAAGCAGTAAATCTGATGGAGAGTTCTGCAAGAGGTTCCACCTCCAGTTGGAGTCGGGTGGAGAGTTTGCAGTTGCAGCAGCTCCAGAGTTCATGAAGGCTGGAATTCAGGATGCTGATGAGAGAAAAGAAATCAAACTGAATCCAGAGAAGATCTGGGAATTATGAAACTTCTGTTTTGGATGACCTCACGACTCCAGAGGGTTAGCTGTTCTTACGGAGACGCTGAAAAGTGGCTCGAAGTGGAACTTTACGCCGGAACTGAGATATCTTCAGAAAGGTAAAAGTCGATCTTCAACCAAAAGTGTACCGTTGGGATAAGCTGATCCAAAGGAGCGCGCTGTTCGGGTTAAAACAGACAAATTCCCTCACACATCTCTCTCAAGATAAACTTCATCTTTCCATCTTTAAAATTCTTCTATCTGCTAAAAATCATTACAGATATTTTTAGAAATGTCTGTGTAAAGTTCTCAACCACAGCCGTGTGGTTAATCAAAATTGTACAGCTTGCTAAAATTAGCCATGTTGTTATTTTCCATATTTTGCCAATTAATGTAAATGTGTGATGTGTTAAACTTTGATTCTGTAAATAAATGACCGCATTCATTTTGATGGGTCAAAGATAATTAACGTCTCACGTTACATTTATAAATTCAATGCACATTATATACAGTCCAGAAAAATGAAAGAATCCGTTTAATTTATGAATATATCTCATGCATATGTTCATCTACAAAAGAAAACTCTTCCCCAAGAGCTACCACCCACTCCTCTAAGAGTCCAAAGAGACCCACTAACCTTTGACATGACAGGACAAGATGTTCTAAAGTCTCAGTCTGGGCGCAAAAAGGGCACCCCTCCCCAGTGCTGGAGTCCAAGTGAGCTCTGTGTCTGTTCGTAGCTATGAGTCCATGTATTATCCTCCATTGAAGGTCAGCCACCCGTTTTTCAACTGGGGGCTTATACAGGACCCTCCACCTGCCCTTAGGGGTGCAGTCTGAAGCAAAAACCTGAGTCCACCTCGACTCCCTAGTTACAGCCAAAGAGCGCAGGTTCAGCATCTTCACACAACTGAGGTAGAGCTGCTTTTTTCCACACAACTTAAAAACACCCATCTTTGGCGTTTCCATAGATAACAGCTGTCCCCTCTCTTCCTGCAGCTCTTCAAAAGCAGGACTTACTGTCAAAGAAGGAAAAACATACTCTGTGTCATTATTCCATTGGTCAGCATGAGCATGGTCTCCAATAAAAGCTCTCAGTGGCGCAGGCAGGCATAGCTTAACTTCTTCTATGATCTTTCTCAGTACTCTAGAAGACTGAATGCTTGTCATGTTCCCAAGCCAGTCCACAGGGGTCTTCACCAGATGACCAAGTTTAATAATGCCGGCTTCAACAAACTTGGTCCTGATGGTGCTTGAAGAAAGTGTGGACCCACTAATGGCTTTATTATAGAACAAAGGTTCCTCAAAAAGCCACATTCCTGGTCTAGGGTCAGGGTTGCAAGTGACCTTCAGTGTCTGCCAGGCATTGAGTACTGAAGAATAGAATGGTGCAAGTCCTGTTAGATCCATTTTAGAGGACTCCATTAAGAATAGCTGTTTATCCAGTCCAAGTTGGCCCACCTTCCTCAGTAGCAGTTGGGCTAGGCCTAACCAACGGTAACTGCAGCCATACAAGAGTCTCTGTGTTGTTTGTAGTCTGAAGGTTGCCATTCTGGAGGTAGTATCCACAAGTCCTTGTCCCCCCTCCACCACTGGAAGGTACAAAATTGGTGCTCTCAGCCAGTGATGACCAGACCAGAAAAACATCACTAGGAGCCTTTGTATCTTTTCCAGAAGATTTGGAGGTGGAACCAGTACAGCAAGTCTGTGCCATAAAGTCGAGGCGACCAGATTATTCGCTATCAGAACTCTTCCCCTATAGGACAGCTGGGGTAGCAACCATTTCCATTTAGACAACTTGGCTTCCACCTTCTCCAGCACTCCCTCCCAGTTCTGTTTTTGGTAATCCTCAGTCCCCAAATAAAGCCCAAGTATTTTCATACCTACTCTCTCCCAGCTCAGACTGCCAGGAAGGTCGGGAATCCCTCTCACTTCCTATTTTCCTACCAGGCATCCATTACTTTTCCCCCAGTTTACCTTGGCTGAAGAGGCCTTTTCATTTATAGTAAGACACTTTCTTAGCTCCTGTATGTCTCCCTGACCTTGGACAAATATATTTATATCATCAGCGTATGCTGACACCACAATGGGAGAAACTAAAGTTGAATTTGTTAAAAAGAATCCCTCTAGTCTACTCCTCAGTCTATTCAAAAGAGGTTCAATGACTAGATCTAAAAAAGTTAAATCTGGTCCTCTGGACATTCAAAAAAAAAAAAAAAACAATGCAAAACAACAAAAAATGTAGAAACGTTTCGTCTCTCGTCCGAGAGACTTCTTCAGTCTGAGGTGCTGTTTTCAGCTCAGTCTCTTAAATAGCACCTTCTCAGAGTGGATCAACCAGTTTTGCTGCTGACAACCAAAACCAGCTGATCACATGCTCAAGAAGGACCATCAGCCTAAAAATGGATCATTAGCACACTGATGGCTGTTTACTATTCACAGAGGGCTGAGTGATACTAGCAATCACATCATTGTAAGAGGGGGACAATTGAACACGTAGGCCTCCACCCCTGTTTAATGATGGACGGTTTCTTTTCACAAAGATGGCCTCCTTTACTCCTCTCTCAAACCATCGTTCCTCTCTGTCCAGGATGTGCACATCTTCATCCCTGAAAGAGTGACCGCTGGCCTGGAGATGAGTGTAGACCGCAGAGTCCTGGCCTGATGATGATCTTCTGTGCTGGGCCATCCTTTTGGCCAGTGGCTGTTTTGTTTCCCCGATGTAAGACTGATCACAGCCCTCCTGACACTGAACAGCATACACAACATTACTCTGTTTGTGCCGGGGGACTGGATCTTTGGGATGAACCGGTCTTTGCCGTAATGTATTTTGGGGTTTAAAAGCCACTGGGACGTTATGTTTAGAAAATAAACGTCTCAGTTTCTCTGATACTCCCTAAACATATGGAATAACCACTGGTCTGGGTCTGGGTTCCTCCTTTTCACCTGTTGGCTGACTGGAGTCCTGTTTGGGTTTCTTCTCTGCTTTTAGGAAGGCCCAGTTAGGATATCCACATTGCTCTAGAGCCTGTCTTGTGTGGGATTTCTCCTTCTGCCTGGCTCCTGAGCTAGTGGGGACGCTGTCTGCTCTGTGATACAGAGTCCTGATGACTCCTAACTTGTGCTCCAAAGGGTTATGGGAGTCAAACTGCAAATACTGGTCTGTGTGGGTGGGTTTGCGGTACACCTCAGTTTGCAAATGTCCTCTATCAGAGACTGAGACCTCACAGTCCAAGAAAGCCAACTTGCCATTTTTTTCATCTTCTCGTGTGAACTTGATGTATTTATCCACAGAGTTGATGTGGTCAGTAAAATGTTGGACTTCCTGAGATTTAATTTTAACCCAGGTGTCGTCAACATACCTGAACCAATGACTTGGTGGTGTCCCTGAAAAGGACGTCAAGGCTCTCTTTTCTACCTCCTCCATGTACAGGTTGGCAACAATAGGAGAAACTGGAGAC